CAAAACATTTAACCGTGATGATGGTTTTAAACTGTCCAGTGCATGGAATCCGGTCCTTAGTGCGTGCAGTAATAAAAACAAAAACACCTCGAGTTCAGTTTCGCGTGTGGATACAGTGAGTGTGGTTTGTGTGAAAAAAGTGAGTGACAATGGTAACGCCACAACAAATCGCGATGAAGGTAGTCGTCGACAGCGCAAGAGGGTAGACAGATATGTCTGCTCTTAAAGCTGTCATCTGCCGCCGTCCAGTCAACCCGTGACCATGGAGCGTGCAACCGTTCCGAAATATCGGGAAAATAAAAAGAAGTCATACCGTGGTAAGAAACCTGATACTAGTGATAATCATTTAGTGAATAACCACGAAAGTCTTAAAATCTATACAACTCATTTTCGCCATCGAGTACATAACCAGAAATAGAGACGAAATTACATTTAATTTACCGAGTTTTTAGGTTTTCGCAATTATTACACATAGAAAATGAAACTATTTTTCCAACCAACGTTTCGGGCCCTTTAAAGGTCAATCGCGACCATGGGATCTGTAAAGGGTCTTGTTTGAAAAACAAATATATGCGATTTAAATCCGGAAAAAATAGTTTCATTTCCTAAGTCATTTAATTTGTTTGAAAACTATTCCGCCATATCATTATTGTGACATTATAAAAGTTTCGTCTCGTTCAAATTTGTGATTTCAGTGCAAACGAGAGTTGATATTTAAAAGTGATATAAGTAAGGCCCATTTACCTAACGAGTTACCAGGGATAGATGGCCTTTAAGGGCCTCGATGAACTTAGAATACGTAATAACAAAAAACCGTAAACTTAGGAATTAAAATAGATGATCAGATTTTAAATATGAGTTTCACTTATTATATAAAAAAATATAAGTAATAATATATATAATGGTCGTAATTTTCGTTTATCATAATCAATTACAAGTTTTAGGGGTTGCAGATAAAGAGAGATTTCAGTTATAAAAATTTTAAGGAAATCATTTATATCGTTTCTTTTGTCTATTAGAGTTTTTACATTTTTTATGAAATGAATATTTGTCATAAAACTGAATTTCCACATCTTGTCTAGTAGTGTAAACGCGTAATTAATGTAAACCGATCGGGACAATAAACCTACAGTTCCAAAGGGCAGTACACGTTTACTAAAAAATGATTCTTACCAGCTATCATATCTTTCAAACTACTAGAAGCGGTCGCCGCAACCTTCTTAGCAACCACAGGCTTGCCAACGGTCTTCTTCTTGGTCTGCGCCTGCGGTTTCTCCTCGACCCAGTCGCGTGAGCGCAGCTCTTCCAGCTTCTTGAACCGCATGTTTACATTGTCCACCTGCAATTGTTTATACTTGTTGTTATTTAAAAAAGAAACTGGATTATGAAATATGCATTGTAAATACAGAAATTAACTATACATAAAGCTGCCTCCGTATCCGGGTGAAATATTGTAAATTGTGGTCGTCTTTGCGTGTGTCGCGTTACAGGTTTCCCTAGTGCGGGGTTAGGAGTGTATGCTAGGAGTGTAGGTGTGTACCGCGCCAGTACCTGCATGAAGACCATGTCCCAGAACCCGTGCAGGTCCGCGGGCGTGACCAGCGCGCAGCCGGTCTCGGGCCTGGCGCAGCGCTCCACCAGCGACGCGAACTGCGCCATCTTCTGCGACATCAGCAGGCGGGCCTGGCCCACGGCGGCCAGCACTGCCTCCTGGTAAGGTTCAACGGTCAGATACGCCGGGTATTTGCAGTCGTGACTTCTGCCACGACGCAAAATGCTACCAATCGAATTACGGAAGCATTATTTCAAAATTACTGTCCCTTATTTTCAAAACGAAAATCTTCCCACTGTTTGTTACTTAATAAAGCATTAATGTTTAAACAACGGGGTGTATAAGAACCGATAGAAAGTCGAGGCGTAAGCTACTTAACGTTTCAATGGTAATATGAACCTGAAAACGATGTTTCTACTGCCCTGTTGCTAATAATCTGTAAAAGGAGATGAAAATCATATTAAAGAGTTACTAATTTTTTCAGACCTGCACAGACTCAGGTAGCACAGTTGTTTCGGAAATGGCTTCCCAGGCGTTGCACATCTCGGTGATGCGTTTAATCTCAGATGACAGTTGGTGACGAAAGTGATCTACGTTCTCCATATCACTCGCGTCGGCGTCCAAGAGGCCTGAAAACGGTCATGAGAGCTTTGAATTTAACTTGGAGACAAAAAACAATCATAAAACATAAATAATGCAAAATAGGATGTTAGTGCTCTAGGTATCAAATTACGATACCAAGCACCTGTTAAAATGTGTCCTCTGACACCTACCATCTTATTTGTAACAGCCCATATTAGTTGAAAATGTACGCAAGTTTCTTCTCTATCTAGAGGCAAACTTGTTATGATCTGGTCTAAGACTTATATTAAGGGTTGTAATATTTAGACAAACTAGAAAATGTATTCAGCAAACATTGTTGCTATATTTAAAATCTGCTGCAAATGTTACAGCAGCAAATAAAATCCTTATAATTAGACTTTAAAAAATTGATTAAACATTACCTTCCTGCATTTTCCACTTTGCCTCCTTCCTTGCTTTATCCTTTCCTCTGGACATAGTAACACAAGGACTGATTTTCGCAATCTGAATTTGTTCGGGAGTTAACACCAAATCAATGGGGGATTTTGGAGATCGCAATTTTTCTTCAGATTTAGATTCGCTCTTAGGTACAGGTACAATTGGTGTACTTGGCAATGGTTTTCTGCTATATTTCTTCTTACCTGAACAAATTGTCTCGCTGACAAATTCCACATCAGAACTTGTGTTTCCTGATCCAGAATTTCCAGGACTAAAATGTTTTGGTAAGAAAAATGACTTGCGAGTACTTCTTCTAATAACTGTAGAATCTCTGACAATTGAAGAATCAGTGTCACTGCTTATTTTTTCAGACTCTGAAGCACTGCTATTCACCGAGACAATGGAATATTTTGATTTTAATTTAGCATTTTCCTGGCTTGAGTTATCACTAGATGTGCCATCCGTTGTAGATTCAAAGACAAGAGCTTTAGGTCCATTGGAGATCGGTTTTGAAGTCTTATTTTGACCAGTATTTGTAACCTTTTTAATCATTTTTGAAGTCTCTATGTCACTTCCAGAAGAACTGCTTTGTGGGTTTTTAGTGAATCTGGATGATTTAGCAGTATTTTTGGTTAGTATGTTTGTTTTCCCTCTAGTGCTTCGAGTTTCAAATTGAGATTTATGTGTATTTTTAATGTCAGTATTTGTTTGTCTGGTTTGAGTTTTTGATCTAGTCTGTTTCGCCGTAGCATGAGGTGCTACAGGATCAAAAGTGATTGTTGTTTTTTTCCTATTTTTATTTTTTGGCGGTTGTGATAAAATAGGAAGTTTCTCCAAGGTTTTTATATGTGGTGCTTTAAATGTTGCATTTTTGGGTGCAAATGACTGAGCTCTACCCTGTTTTGGGCTTTTTGGTTTAGAAATGGTGTTGCGTGCTTGTGAACGTGTTACTCTTCCAGAGGTGCTTGGTTTGGGAGGGGGAGGAGGGGGTTCAAACTTCAATGGTGCCCTAACCACTCCAGCTATGAATGGTTTCTTTTTTTGAGCAACTTGCTGTTTCTTTTTCTCTTCTTTCTCCGCTTTCCATTTCTCCAACTGCTGTCGCCTATGCTCCACCTTCAGTTTAGCCTCTGAAACTGCCGGTAATGGACTCTCACATCTAGGCAAGTTTCTAATGCTATCAAACACAGTCAGCCTGTTGCTTTTCCTGGTTTTTATGTTTGACTGCAACCGTTTCTCTACCTTTAGGTAATGGAAAAAAGAAGGTTAAAATAACAACACTTACATTACCATCTAGCAGCCCCACGGAACTGATCACTATATAATTTCACAATTGCAACAATTTCAGAAAACAATCCATGATAAATTTACTCTAGTCCGGGTGGCTGGGAAAGACCCAGTTATTGTTACTCTGGGAACTTAGTATGAAATCAGGAAATTGGGATGGGAAAGATGTCAAGACCCTATGATCTATAGCTATCTACTTTTTAAACATTGGGACGTAGGGAGTATAAAAAGGTAGGCTCTGCTTTAGGGACTTTCAGATCAGATTAGGTTTCAGGTCAGATTTTGACATCGTTTTATGAAGTTTCTGAAATTTGTTAGTTAAAAAATAATTCAAAACAAAGCCACTCACCCCACCGGAGACACTCATAAACTGCAATGGTTTGCTCTTGTGTTTCTTCTCGTTATTGCGCAACAACGCGCTTAGATCGAAGAGTTTATCTGCAAACCACACAAGTACACATAGAATTAAAACCCCTTCATCATTATTGCAACACGAAACATTGAATACCTACGAACGTAGAAAACACAGAAATCACTCGCTTAATAAAGTTTTACTAGAGATATTCATACCATACGCATAAATCGTGTTTGTTACATTTCATGTGATTTGTAAAAGGCAAAATTAAATAAACGTAAATACTCACCCATGACACCTGAAAAAGAAATAAATAAAACTAAACAGAACAGTGAAAAATTCGAAAATTCAACTGACAACGGACGCCGTCATTTCCATCGATAAATTGTTTTTTTTTTCTTAAGCACATACTAACATATTTGTGACTTAACATGACGTTCGATCGTTAGGAAATGTGCAAACAGCCTAAACACCACACAAAAAAATATAAATGGCAACATTGACTTCCGGGTGTCAGCTGTGTTCTCCATCGCTTTCCAAAATTATATACTTCGATTTTCTCAAAGAAAGAAAACGTCAGGCCATTCAACATGGGCTTGAAATACGCGATCAAAAGCTAGTTATAGCTGAAATATTGCTCTAATTGTAGTGTTATTGTTACTATAGTTTCATTTTACATGTACGTTGTGTAACTTATAAATTAGTCGAAAATGGATACGTTTATCATAGGATACCTCAGTTATGGCGTTTGTTGATCATTAAAAATTTGGTTCGGTTATAGTTTTTCTTTATATTTGATGTCCGCTTTTCGTTCGTGATCGTTTGTTTCGTTCGTGTTTACGTGTTTACGAAGATGGTGAAGGAGAAGCCTAATTCTATTAGGATTTACGACGACGAGGGATTCCGACGCCGTGCGGCGTGTATATGCGTGCGATCGGATGCCGAAACGGAGGTTAGCGTTACCGCTATGCTGTTTACAAGTCTTTTAGTAAGTTCATTGATACGCCAGATTACTGTAAACGTTGATTTTGGGGTAGGTGCTGCTGGTGACGTCGTCGCGGCGGCCGGACAACTGGATCGTACCAGGTGGAGGCGTAGAGCCCGAGGAGGAGCCGTCAGTAACGGCGATGCGCGAGGTGCTGGAGGAAGCTGGTGTCATCGGCAAGCTGGGCCGCTGTCTTGGGGTTTTTGAGGTTAGTTTGACCCACTGGTCAGTACAGTCGCTCAGTGGACTATAATAGAAAACAAACATACAAGTGTTTTTTTCACTTATCATCAAGCTAGACATCCATGAAATGGAAAAATATGTTTATTTTGATTATAAGTGTAATTTAATCAGAAAATATTAATTACATTGTTAGCTAAGAATTTTTGCTGTTGACACGATTCAGTGGTGACCCTCTGTACTTAATATTGGCGTGCCAGGTTAATAATAGCAGACAAAAAGCACTCCTGTGGCCATAACTATGACATTAATGCGTAATGTTGAAAAATCATTAAATATTATTGTATTTCGCGCAAGCCAATTCTAGTCATTATAACAATTTTCAAATAACTTGCTATATAGTATTTTAATTAAATAATCATTACTTATAGAGATATGTAGTTCCTTCGAAACTAGGTAATTCCCTATAGTTACTATGTATTATAAGGAATAAAATTAAGTTTAATTTTACGTAAACACTTTATAAAGTTATATGTTATACTATGTTGAAATCAATACTTAACCACTAAACAAAAATCTCTCATTTTCAAATATAAACTTATTTTCAGAAACTAAAAAGCATTATCTGCTGGTTATTATTTAGTTTTTCTCCTAGTATACTTGAAACAAAAATGCATACTGTGAGGAAATAAAAAAAAATGTAGTCACATTAGCAGTTTTTGTTACAACGCTCCTCAATTTTATAGTTACTGTGCGTGCAAAACCGCGGAAGAGCAGTTTGTAAATATCGCGTAATAGCAAAAGGTACAAAATTGAAATATCGCGCCAACAGATCCTTAACGCTAACTCGCCTAAGCTAGATCTCACAGAATTTGTATTAGCCTCTAAGAAACCTCATTTTTACCATCGAAACAATACTGCAAAACAGTAGCATTGCTGAAATTGGCCGCAAGTCCACGTATTTACCAAATTAATGAAGAAGTCATAACACGATCTCTGCACGAAAGAGTCGAGGATCGGTGTGAATATATCATGAAAAGTCAGAGCCAGCTCAAAGGAACTTCGTTTTGTTGAGAATAGACATGCCTGCGTTTTGATAGCGCTAAATTTGACAAGATTGACATCGCCCCAATCGATGACTGCCTGGAGTGTCAAATCAAAACGGCTAATCATGGACTCTTGACAAGACTGGATTTCCTTTCCGCTGACCCTTGCATTGGTCACGTATCTATTTGTCTACAACTATGCTGTCATCAGCATACGCAAAGGAATTAACATATCATTGATATGCAGCAGAAAGAGAGTTGCAGACAGTATGGAACCCTGAGGAACTCTCTGTCTATCACCATATATTCGGAAGAGTAACCTTCTAAGACCACTCGAATCGAACATTCACTCAAGAAATCCGTGGTCCAATTACAAAGGTCAGTGGGAAGCCCCTAAAAGGGAAGCTTACTTAATAGGCTTGTGTGCCAGACCCTGTCAAAGGCTTTAGAAATGTCTAAAGACACTGCAAGAGCCTCGCCTTGCTTTTCTATAGCCTCGCTCCATATATGACAGGCATATACAAGAAAATCCCCAGTAGATAGCCCTCGTGGGAATCCGTACTGGCGATCACTAAGGAGGTCGTTGTCTTCAAGGTGTGACAGGAAATGGTTGTTGAGTACACATTCCATAGTCTTGCAGAGTATGGAAGTGACTGAGATAGGTCTATAGTTGACAGGGTCAGCTCTGCTTCCCTTTTTTGGCAGAGATGAACGTTTATAAGCTTCCACGACCTGGGAACTACACCAGTCTCAAGTGAGAGGCGGTACAGGCGTGTGAGAACAGGAGACAACTCAGGCGCACAGTTACGCAGGACTATTGCTGGAATTCCATCTGGCCCGCTAGCTTTATTTATGTCTAGATTTCACAGAGTTCTAAGTACCTCTTTTTGACGTATACGAACTGGCGACATAGTGCAGCCAGCCTGAGGTAAAGTAGGTGGTAGGTTCCCTGCGGCATCCAAACGCGAACTATGCTAAGAGTGAGGCAATAAGATTCGCCTTCTCTTCCACAGTATGAGCCAGCGAGCCATCCTGCCTCAGCAGAGGTGGCAAAGATGAGCGACAAAAGTTAGATTCGACCGGGGACCAAAAGGATTTGCTGCCTGCTGGATAAGAGGCAAGGTTGGCCCCTATGCGGCGCACATGGTCGAACTAGCCCTAAGTAACACACTTTTGCACTTCTTGACGGCCTTATTAAAAGCTTTCTTCCAATTCTGAGTACTCGGAGCTTTGCGTAGTCGAGCATCTGCCCAAGCTTGACACGCGGACTGTTTACGTGTTTCAGCACAATTACAATCAGCGTAAAACCATAGACGAGTTATTAGGTACATCAGAGTATGGTATGTAACACTCCATACCCAAACGCAAAACCTCAACTACAGCATCAGCACAGCCCGACGAGTCTCCTGAAATAAAGCACGCCTGCCAAGGGTATGACGCAAAGTCATGTACGTCAGCTGTGTATTATAGTCTTAGACTATGGATTATTTTTTTCCATTCTCTAAGATTATAGTGGGTAATATAATAATAAAAAACATAGGGTGGTGTGGGTACTGAGCAAGACACTACCTTTTCATTATATTTGTGCAAGACATTTAACAAGATCAAGCTGCTGTGATTTTCAGAGAACTTATGAGACTGTTTTTTTTTGTTATTCGTAATTGCACATATTTACAAAATTTAACAACATTTTAACCACGAGAACTTACCTTCTTTTTGACTTATAAAAAGATTTCTATATAATTTGACTACGAACAGTAACAATTTATTGTTTATCAGATAATACTTATTTGGTCTAAGAAGATGTTTGTTTTAGAACCTTTTTTGTTAATTTATTATTATTATGACCCTGTATTGTCCCAGAGAAGGGCAAAAGCCTCCTCACTTTCTGTCACTTTTGCTCTTTAGTCATAATAAAATCAAATCTTTAATAAAATGTTTCATTTCAATCCCGCGCACCTACTAACAGTACACTACTTTTTCTGTAATTTGTTACTACAAAACCGCGTTAGTGACTTTATCCGGAATCTAAACAAGTTATGGGTAAACTTACGTTATTTCTGTACAAAATGAATCCCAAAGAAGTAGCTACAGAGTTCAGTCAGTAAAATATAGTTCAATAGCTAAGATATTAAGTTTTTTATTCCTCCTGTAAAATCGTTAAAACGCTCTTACGCGGTATTTACAAAGTGCTCTTCAGCGATATTGCATGCGCAGCAACGAGATGTTCTTGGTACTGAAAGGGTTAAATAGGTTGGTAGTTGGGACCTCTCTTATCCTAAACATAGTTGTTACTTAAAAACTAAATTAATAAAATAAACATTATCCTTTTTACAAAATTAAATACAATTGCATGTCTCTCCTTACACTGAACATTGTAAATTGAGCTCTATGACACTTAGTTATTTTGCAATTTAACAATAAGGAAATTTCAGTGACCTCATAAGTTACACATTCTTTATGTATGTGATTGTATGACCTTGTATGAATGTCAATAGTCTAACATTGATGTTATTAGCAAAGCGTTGTTTTAAATTCTTGATCAATCATTAACTATTATTTACATTTGAAACAAAAACATTGATAGACATACTCTATGTGTACATTGATAGAATAAACTTGTTTAGAAATAGTTTAAGTTATTTGAAGTGGCTCAGTAACCTAATTATGTTATAGGACATTGCATCATATCACGAGCAACTCATATAGGCACCACAGCATGGCAAGTCTTCTCTGTTAAGCGAATTTAGGCCATTGTCCATCACTCACTCGAGGACTCAAAGGTCATTGAAGAGTACTCTGCGGCCTTACCATGAACTTTTATTACAGTTCAGTATAGGTTCGCAACGACAACAAAACGGAATGGTGATATACACTTCATGAAGCGCTGTCTCGCAACTATTCATTTTAGGTCCAGAACTGAATCGTAGTAAGAGTTCATGGGAAGGCCCCTGGACTTTTATGCAGGTTTCATCACGGTTTCTTTCATGGTTAAAGCAAGAAATAATTTAAACCTAACTGCACGTAATTAGAAAAGACGCCGTGAGGTCGGCCATCCGCAAATCAAACACACAGTTAAAAACAAAATTGCTTAGCCTACATTGTGATTATGAAAACTATTTGTTACTCTATATTTTGACTGTTTCAGTGATGAAGTGATGGGAGTGACAAGAATAAAATAGAATATTTTTTTCATATTGTCAGTGTCACAATATTACAGTTTAAAATACAATCTCAAGAAATAATATGGTTATAATAATATATAGTATTAAAAAAGTGTAACTAAAAAAACATAAATAAACAAAATACTGTCGAAATACAACGTCAAATAAAAATAAAATAACAATTTTTTTCAAAAGAAAAAACGAGGACCTTGGTGACCCACCGGTTACAATCTGGGCGCTAGATGAGGAGGTCCCGGGTTTGATTCCAAATTGGGAAATGAACTTTTCTGAATTGGTTCTGATCTGGGTTTTCTGGGAAGTGCCCCAGAGTGAATTCCATTGCTCTAGTACTCATAGTACAGGGTAGTATACGGAATACCCTCATTTGAGACCAGGCAAATGCTATCAGAAATAAAAAATAAATCCATCATCCAATAAAAGGGGTTTCCGTCGTTTGTTATACTTTTTTTAGATATGGTAGTATACGGGTAGGTGTTTATAGAATACGAGACCTATATTACTATTACTCTGGTACTCATAGTACAGGAAATTCCCTACTTTGAAATCAGAAATTTGAAGTGATTGTCTGGCATTTTTTCCTTAAACTTCTCTTTTTGGCATAGCTTCCAAGAAAAAAGAATCTAACAAAGAGACCGTCGAGATACAACAACACTATAAGTATTTTATTTCCACTATATCGGGAAGTATGCCTTACATTTTGAACAATTGTGAAATCTTGTACCGTAATAGAGTCGGACGCTTCGGACTTCGCCGAAGTCCGAAGCGTCCGACGGCCGTAAAAAGTAGAAAGTGAATTTTGACTGCAAATTATTATTAAACACCCATAAAGATCCCCACATGCCGTTTTTCAGCTGAATTAGAACAAATTTCCATCTGCCGCCAACAAATTTTTGTGGTAGCAATGTTAAAAAATGGCGACAAATAAATTTAGACCGCAAATTATTATTAAACACCCATGGACTCCCCCACATGCTGATTTTCAATCGAATTAGAGCAAATTTTCATCTGCCGCCAAAAAACCCTTCTATGGCAGCCATATTGAGAAATGGCGAAAAATCAATTTTGATCAAAAATTATTATCAAGCACTCCTAGAGAACCCCCATATGCCAATTTTCAAAGGGATCTGATCAATTTTTTTTCGGGCGCCAACGAACGTTTCTATGACGGCCATTTTTGAAAATGGCGAAAAACAAATTTTGAGCACAAATTATTATTTCTATTTCTAGTGGCCTTCACATGCCAATTTTCAATCGAATCAGAGCAAATCTCTTTCGGGCAACTATTTTTAATGGAAAAAAGACTTGTATGGCAGCCATATTAACAAATGCCGAAAATAAATTTTTGACCCTATAGTATGATTAAGGACTCCCAAAGACCCTCACATGCCAATTTTCAGCCGGATCGAAGCAAGTTTCTCTTCGGCCTCCATTTTGAAATCGCCACCTTGAATTTTGTTAACCCAGGCAGTTGACCAGTGTTATCCTCTATCTAGGCCGTTGATCACTCGTTTACATTTTCCACATTCAGGTCTTCTCATATTTCATTCTTTGCCTTGAAGCCTATCTGCGTACAACGGTACAAGTATCTTTTTTCTACCATATCGGGAAGTATGCGTTCTATTTTTCTAAGTGAGTCAGGATTTGTAGCTTTATAATGGGACCTACAGCTCGCGAGTTTCTCTGAGTGGGTAGCGGATTTTAGTTTTCCCGCGTTCTGCAACGCTAGGCGTCTGCCCGTACATCGCTCTCAAGTGTCTGTCCTGAAGTGCTTAAACGAAACAATATCATAAATATATTGTGAATCAGCAGTAGTGTGAAATTGCAGTCATTTTTTTTTTAAATACTTCTGCAGAACTGGCGTTTTTATGCCTGCTATGGTTTTTAGTACACATTTTTGAAGAAAGTGATTGCTATTGATACATTTTATCACTGAATAATTCCCAACAACCCTTCAAATTTAAAAAGCTTTCATTAACCTACAATAAGGTTAATATTGACCTATCTCTATTACTGCTCTATACTTCTTAACTGGCTGTAGTTTGAGAGCCTTAAACAATCTCTAAATTCATTTAAAAGGTCAAAATTTATACTTTTTAATTCTCCATTTGTTTAAAACAAAGAACCTTTTTTAGGACTGTCAAAGCAATATAAATCTAGAAATGAATAGCAAAGCAATAATACCAGTTCTTAGTATTCAATGTGCTATATTTGCACATTTAATTTATATAAAACGTGAACTGCTTACTAGCAAATAATATTGCACAATGTTATGTTATATTAAGCTTTATTGAGAATGTACCTGGTTTAAACTGTTAAAGTGGGTTCAAAATTAATAACTTCACTTCGATAGTATTTAAAAAAGATGAGAAAAAATCTACTTACCACGCAAAAGCTCTCAGAAGATACTATACGAAAATCAATTTCAATTAAGATATATGATTTAACTTTCCCTAAAACTTTATAAAGAGCCATTATTATAAAGAAAACAATTAATTATTATATCTGTTTTTTATTTTACTTATTATTAAGTGTATAAAAATTATAGATAATTTTACATTACTTTTAATGAGATTATGATTTGTAATTTGGTGATAATTAACAATTAAATAGTCGCTGTTGCGATATTAGTTATTAAACATTTAAATATTATGAAACTTATCGTGAATAAAAGTGCGATTTCTTCAACAAAGAGATTTTTGAGAAAATTGCAATATGTCATCATGAGTCATGAGATAAAGTTTTATATCGAATTTCTAGGTAATACTACAATAGAACTCGTCAAATTGCCTGTTGTATACAATAATAAATTATTTCCTAAGAACAATAATCAATATAAGGCATGTAGTTTGAATAAAGCATGATAATAAATAGAAAGTTCTTGGAAAGCAACCTTGAAATAAATTGCGGTTTACTTCATGAATCGTGAATAATTTATTCATAGTTTCATTGTTTGCCGTAATTGACTTGTCTCTTTTGATGCGAAATGCTGATTTGCTTCAATAAAGGCAGAAACACATTAGGCTGCCGTGATTCAACGCACAAGTCATATTATAAAATACATCTCGATCAGCGACACATTTCACATACTTAAAGTCGATAGCCAATCGCGTTTATGTTGCGCGTGTATTGAGTATAACTGTAATAATAATATGTGTCAGACTACCACACCTTTTGACAGGTTTCGAACTAGTGTATTCCCTGTACTATGAGTACTATAGTCGCATTTGTTTAGGTTCTTAACTAAATGTAAACAATCTTGATACATCTTTTTATTGAAACACATGCTTTACAAATCAATAGGTATAAAAATAGGCATGCAATTTCATATTAAGCTAAGCATTTGTATTTTGTATTTGAAGGTAAGGGAGAATCATTTTATAAATGTATATTTCATTAAATAGACATCTCAAGATTGTTTACATTTATTTAAGTACCTAAACAGATGGACTATAGAGCATCGAAATTCGCAGAACGGTACACTTCCCAGAACCAATTTAATCCGAGACTATATAAGTCTAGAAAACTCAGACACACTTCGGATATCGCTTGTGGATTATGGCCGATTCGAATCCCAGAAAATACAAATATCGCTTGTACAGCTAGAGATAAAATGATCCCCGTGACATTTCACACAGTCACTTCTCGGATTCGGAACTGATACAATAGAACGCAGTGTGTAAACGTTCTTAAGCCACCAAGGTCGTTAGTCACAACTCATAACTGGCCAGATGCATGGCATCAGTGAACTATGATTCTGATAACACGCTATACGGATGTCTCATCAGATCAGCATAATGTGTTTGCATCTTCATGGTTACTTTTATACAAGTATTTTAATTTAATGGCATCGTTTGTCGTGCTAATGATTAAATAAATGCCATAAGAATGTTTCCTATTATTACTGCGCCAGGGTGCCCTTACAAAGATTTGTATGAAATGCCCAATCACTGACCGTTTATACTTATTCACAACAAATATTTATTTGGCTCTTTATCAAACTTTCAGAACCGAGAACATAAACACAGGACAGAAGTGTACGTGATGACAGTGACACAAGAGCTCGCAGAGTGGGAGGACTCCCGTCTCATGGGGCGCAAGCGGCAATGGTTCAGCATCGACGATGCGCTGGCGCAGCTCGCCTTGCACAAGCCCATACAGCGCCATTACCTGCAACAGTTACGCCGCTCTAAGCAGCCCAAACAGGACGACCCGCCCAGCTAAACATTAAGACTCCTTATTGATAATCAAGGCTTAAATACAGATTTAAACAACCAGATATTTGTTAAGAGCTATTTGATAAGCTAGAGATCTCTTGATCATAGCTATTATCAAATATTCTCACAGTTATATTTAATGACCATGTTGCGAGCAATTCTGCTATTGGAGTTGTGTCATTTCTTCAAACGTGGGAGTCTATTTATAAGGAACACATTCTACTAACACTTGTGGTTTTGTGCTGCTTCGAAGCCCAATTTGTCAAAATTGAATTTGAATAAAAATTGTACAAATATTTTTTTTTTTGTGTAATCAAAACTAATTCAATCTTATTTAAAATATTTTTGTTTCGTAGTGTTGATGACCAATCATCGTTCCAGCCGTATTAAAAAGTGTTATCAAAGACGAGAGAGATTATGGTAACTTTTGTGATTTTACTTGTTATTTACGAGATTAATATCTAGATGATACTCAAGTTTGTCCATTTACACCAATGCTCTGGTTGCTTAAATCTAGAATAAAAAATTGTCGTAATAACACCAACTGATGTGACTACGTTTTAGTAAGCCAGCTTTTGTGCAAAACAATTTGGGGTTTTTCATGAATGTTAGAAAGAGATGGAGATATGTAATAGAAAAGGCTGACAAGTAAGCTACGTTACGGATGTTTAAAGGACTAAATATTCTACAGACAACGTGAACACTGACATCTAAAGTCAATATTAGCATCATCATTTCAGGGTCCAAGTGTAACTTGTCAGCGTTAATTAGAATGTGTTCTATAATAGTGATTGATTATACCAACAAGTCACGCCATCTGGTGAACGTCAATTGTTTTAGCCAATGCTTATCAATCGAATAGTTAGTATACGAAGTTTTATTAAGAACGGGAAATGTACCAACTTATCTGTGTATATAGAAACGTGACCAGAAACTTAAAGCTAACATATTGACGTACATGTCTGGAGAATTACAAAGGGATATATTATGTGAGTTTCTGGTCGACCTATAATAAATTCATGTTCATAAAAGCTGACATGTTAGATGTGGACCCTCGCCAAGTATAAAGAACTGTTTCTTCTTACTGACAACGCGAATATTGAGGTCAATAGTAGTACTACCATTTATGGGTCCAAAGATAACTTGTCGTGACCTTTAAAGTGAGACATTCATTGCTTTACACTTCGGTCGGGCGACAAAAATTATAGTTCAATTTCTCATGGCATGGGTATGATGACGTTTGAGATTTGAAGTTTCTCGAGATGTACTGATGTGAAATCGAACAAAAAAATCTATTTATATATCTTATCAAGATAATTTGTAACGAAGAGAACATCGATTTAAAGACAATAATTTAAGAACGAACAATAAACAAAATCAAAAATTCAGTTGTTATGTTATTAAGTTACAAAAAACTGCACAACAAACAAATTGACAACTACCAAACAAAACGGCGACAACAAAGCATAAAATCAACAGCAACGAAACTAATAAATAACTCCAAAAACATCACGGAAAGTTCAAAACAAAAGAAAACAAAACCGGCATACAAAGTATATGCACTCATACTGACGCGACTTACTCATATTAGCCAATTCGATTTATCGATTCTATAGTGTAAATCTCTTATGGATAAATGATCGATTTTACGCATCAAGTAGTTGGGGTAATAATTTCTTTTTATCTTTATCATTTCATTTTCTATCTACTTAATATACTGTAATTTTACAAATATCGTTTGTTTTTGGTGCATTGTGATAAATTTACTAATTGTTTTCGTAACCTGGTTGAGGGACTATTTAAAAATAGTATTGTAACTTAAAAATTGGAAATGTCACTGTACCCATCCTATGTGAAATGGAACTATAACGAAAGTTATGATACAGCATAGAAAAAGTTTGAAAATGTGATTATCATCTGCCGACCAACTTATAAGATAGTGATTGTCTTACTTTAATGTTTTAAATTATAGCATGTGGCATCGACTGTTGTACATAGATAAATTTATGAAATCATAGTGGATTGTGTTGAAGACAAAATAGGGCTGGTTGCATCTAGGTTATATATTTATAAACAATACATGGTTTCTAGTTGAAATTGTTAGTGTTTTTTCTTGTGCGTTTTCGCTTACTTTATCGTGTTATGCGTTAGCGCACAACCACGTCGGTTGAATGCGAAACCCGTGCCAATACACTACACATACTGCACTTGTATTTTCTCTCTCAGAAATTGCGTTATATTATATTTTATCTCAAAATCCCGTTATATTAATAATTTATCTTCAAAATTTCGCTATACTCGTGTCATTCATATGCAATTTAACTTCACAGTGACAGGACAATACTGTCGCTTTGACACTAAATAGGTAATATTAATATAAATTAAAACCATTTTGATATAACACTATGTTAGTTGTCATGTGCGATATGTTTCCATGGCTTATCGAAAACGCACAAGAATACATCAATATATTATGACATACATAATATAATATTTAAACAATTTTGATGTATTACTTTTAAAGTACTGTAAGTTTATACTTTACAGTGAATTTTTGGGCACGATGTGGTTCTCAATTTTCTTTTTCTCTCCTAGATATGAAGTGTACTGACAATAAATAGCATATAACTTATGTTTTAAACTAAATACCATGTATTTAATTTCGATTTGTGATTTGAGATTTCTTGTCAAAGGAGCTGGGACGATTTACTTCATATTACTTTCCCAATGCATTTTTAATAGAAAATCCTGTAACCAAATGAAGAGCTTACCAACATTTGCAAGTAATGGAGCTTCAAGTATATATACACTAATTTACTTGCCCTTTTCACTATAAGCAAGTCCAGTCACTTTTTCGGCGCATGCGCAGTATTCGCGCTTGGCCTTATTATCTATACAATTTGTTTTATTTGGCGGCACAGAGGCAAAAACTTGTTTTTAAGAGTCTACAATAGTTACGTTACATGCATAATTTAATGTCTGACCAATTTCCTATCTCGCTCTATTTCTTACTACATAGCAACGTGTGATAGAAAGGGATATATATGAACAGTACTTTGTAGACTTTTTATGATAAATTGACACGTGAAACTTAAAAATAAATTCAAGCCAATTGTATATCGCCATAAAATGACTAAAAACGACAAGTATTTTATAATTATTAATACAAACATCGAACACAAAGAAAAATTCCTTCGACCCAGCTGGACTCGAACCTACGACCACGGGAATACCGTCCTCTTGCTCTTCCAACTGAGCTACAGGTCAAGTTAGCAGGGCGACGAAATTCTTGTATGTGTTTGTTATATAGTACTTTGTAGTGAGTTTTTTCGGCTTCGACGCCGTAAAAGTATTTTATTTGGGAAAGTGACAAAGTATATTAAAAAAATAACATTAACCATTTGGAACCAGACAAATAGGGTATACAGCTGATGCTGAATAATATATTATAAAAATAAATTATAAAAACGACTTCTTACTTTTGTTTCACATGTTATTTTTTGAAATTTATTTTATCAGTTTCCAAAAAAAAAAATACTTTTCTAATTTCAATAAAACAAGTAAATCGTTCCAGTATCTTTGTTTGGTGTATGCATGTTGAATTGCCTTCATGAAATTGAATTTTTCTAAATGCGGATCTATTTTCTTTACGAAAGGGTAGGTGCTTCATTCTTTGAGCTGATAAACCCTGTTAAAAATAAGAAACACCACCAAACCAGTTTGCATTAATCTTTGAATGGCATTAAGTCCTTGACTGACAAACTACTCGTAACGAGAATTGATAATCTCGTTCATTTACATTTTACATATCGGTAAGTAACTGAATGAAGAAAACATTAATAAAGATTATCTTATTGTAATATATTGTGTAATAAATAAGACACAAATGTGTGTGTTTGTGTATATAGTGTGAATGTTTTATGCAATCAGCCCTCCAGAAGTTTTTCAGTCCGCGTATTGGAGCTGGAATGGTCAATTTTTCATAAATAATTTTATGCTTCGATATGCCACATTTTGTTTCGTGTACTCAAACCACCAACTTGTAAAAGCTGTCACAATTTTATGCGTTGTCTACCGTTTCCGACAGGTCATTTGACATTTTATCAACATGACAATGTTAACACGTTCGCCACATCACAGATACGTTAATTCCATTCAGAATATTTCCATTTCTTATTCAAAATCTTTGTAAAAATTATGGCATTTAGACTAGTTTAACTCTTACTTTGCGGAAGTTAATTGGCCGTCCGTAAGAACCGGAAATAGGTCAGTCTCACTAAATTAATAACATGCCACATAATATCATTTACTACATTGACAATTATTCGAGTGGGAAACCACAGCATTTTTCTTATATAAGTAAACAAGTTAGGTGGTGTTATTAACGCCTTACAATTAGGTACAACTATAGTGTTATACTATAGAAACCATAGTCGCGGTCTGAAGAATCCACCGCGTGCTATGAAAGGAGTCTTGAAAGAGAGAAGAGTCAATGTAAGGCAAACGTGAACTGGGCTTAAAAATCGTAGGGTCGAAGACACGACACGTAACTCTATAAACATCTCCTTTTTTCTATTTTTACGTATATTTTTATACTACAATGGAATAAATGTTAATTTTATTTTGTTAGCATTAAAACAAAAAGACATACAAGCTCTATTTTTTATTTAATTACTTACAATACTTAATTAAAATTAAATTTTACTGATTTAAGAAGCAGTTAATGAGTTTTTAAAAATAAATTTTATATTGCTCTCTTTGGCAAATTTTTGTTCCGCCGAAATGATATCATTTTCCTAAAACATCTGCCCACTACATAGTGGGCGTGGACCTCTTACCTAAAAGAGTCTCAGGCCAAATTAGATCCTTCTAAGTTCTATTGTTGAAAGTTTATTGACTTTATATATAGATAGATTTTTATTGAAAAAGTCTCAGGCCAAATTTTATTCATCGCAAGTTCTATTGCTTGAAGTCGATCGATTTGTAACATGAAACTCAGGCCAAATATATCCATCGGAAGCACTATT